ATTTTCATTTGGTCTTCCCATCGTGTTGGAGATCTTCCTCTTGGTATTCGGTCTTTTAAATTTTCGTCTACTACCAATAGTTCAATTGGATTTTAGATGTCCCCAAATACAATAATCTTTTGGAGCCAGATCGGTGTATAACTGGTTTTTATGGTTTTCAATTCTTAGTTTGATTTCATTATTCTCGTATAGGCTATTCACCAGAGCTGACAGATAATCAAGGACTCCCATCTCGTGCAGATTTTTCACAAAAGTTTCCAGTTTACACAGTCAAATGCTTTTTGGTAACAAAGAAAGCAGATGATCATGGGAATTCTCGAGCCTTTTCAGTGAACTGTTGCATATTGAGAATCTTGCTTCCTTGTGCCCTTAAGATTTACACGAAGAACCAAATATGCCCAGAGTGGTAAAAGAAAAGTGGAGAAAGAATGGCAGAAGGGTAGCCACTATGGATCACTATGGATAAAGGACATTGAAAACGAAATTAATAATCTAAACATCACTAACTGGAAAAAAGGATTAGATAGCAATACATACATACATTATACTTAAGTGTATATAATAACACGCTTTTGCCGTCTATTTTGACTATATTCTCGTATTTGAAGTTAATTTTATTATCATTGATTTTTAGAATACTTTAAAATGGTTAATTAAAAAGCAATGAATTCTTACAAGGTTGTTACCGTCAAGATGTGTACAGAATTTTATATCCAATTTCCATAATTAAAACTTTATGTTATTTTTATGTTATGTTGTCCCTTTTTAATATTTATATAATTGTTATACCATGTTGATTAAAATTGTTTGGAGTTAAAATATTTAATTTTTAGTTTATCCTAACTTTAATAGTTTTATGTAGCAATATGGAAGTAAATATGATAAAAATATATTGAAATCAAATTCACACTCAAATGTCTTCATTAAAAATATCTCATATAATGATTATCAAAATTTTGTTCTACGTACGTGAACCTTCAAATTGAATGGTACATACAATATAAATTAAAATTTCAAATCAAAATTATTGTTCTAAATCTTCTGATCAAAATATTCCTATCCTTTCTAAAGCAATTGAAAAATTTGTGTTGTTAATAAAGAAAAAACTGACGAATAGTAAAACTATCCCTCTGATGATGAGTTGTCCAAATCCTTGTTCCTTGTAGCCTACACTATCTATTCTTAGCAGTCCCCTAGGTAATCATCAATCTTACAACAAATTGTTGCGAGCCTATCGTCTTTAATGATCTCCTTCAAATGCACGTATCGTTCAAATTATGCTAGCCTCTTCTCCTCTCGATAAACTGAATCTCTCGTTTTGGCCTGAACAGTGACTCTTGGAATATAAGTAGAAAAATATAACTTACAATATTTTACTGGATCAGCTTCTGTCCGCTGTCATGCTGCTCCGATCATGTAGGATGCGTCCTTCAAATCAATTTTTCCATGATTTCTTATCAGTCTTTCTTCTCCCTCCTCTTCTTTTTCCAAAAGTAACTTACGTAATAATTCTTTTTTATAAAACCGTTTGAAAGTTTCAATAACGCTTTGATCCATGGGCTGTAATAATGAAGTCACATTAGGTGGAAGAAACATGACTTTTAGAAAATTGTCTTTTTCATTTAAGATGTCACATGATGTATGAGTTGGGGCGTTATCAAGAAACAATAATGTTTTCTCCCTTTTACCATTTTTTAGTTGATGGGCTTTAACGTAGGGTATAAAAGTTCCTATAAACAATTCCATGAAAATTGTACTATTCATCCAAGCACTCTTTTACGAAGTACAAACGATAGGCATCGCATTCATATTAACGTGTTTAAAACAATGTGGTTTCTTGCTTTTACCAATGACAAGTATGTGTAATAGGTGGCTGCCAGTAGCATTAGCACAAGCTAAGGTAGTGATAAGATCCTTATTTATTTTAGATGCTGCTAATTCACGCCATGACGCAGGAGTTTTTCATGGCAAAGGTTTCCAATTGTGCCCAGTTTCGTCTGCATTGTAAAAGTTTTCGAGTGCATAATTTTCTTCCTTCAGTAATTCACTTAGTCTTATTTTGAATGACTCTGCTGCTGATAAATCAGCAGATAGTTTTTCTTCTTGTATTTGAAGCTCACGACTGTCATGTCTCGACTTAAATCGTTTTAACCAGTCTGTGCTTGCTTGAAAATTTGACGAACCTCCGAGTTTTTCATTGAATTGAACTGCTTTTTCACACAGAATCGGAGCAGAAAGAGGTTCTCCCTGGGATCTGTTTTGAGTAAACCACTTTATATATATATATATATATATATATATATATATATATATATATATATATATATATATACACCCTATCTAAATCCGTGGTTGAGGCAAGTTTCATAGTTTTACAATTTGTGGATCCATCAGAAGAATCAAGCTGGGACATAAAGGTACTTATGCTAACACACTTACGTTTAGGCAGTTTCTATCAAGAAGTGTTTGATTTTAACGCGAAACGCGACAAAATTTTGTTTATTGCCTATCGGCTACTCAGAAGGGACTAATACATATATACGAATATTTACAACCGACAATAATTTCAAGAATGTGACGCATACACTATTTTGACCGATATTAAATGATCCTCTTGCTCTTATCTATGTTAAATGCCAAGTGACAATGAATTAATGAATCCGCGTCTTATAAAAATTGTGGGAGTCGAAAGTACGGATAACCGGTCGTTCGATTGATCGACGATTTGGATAATCGACGCTCTACTGTACTTTCATCGACAACTCGCTGTAGAACTTGCATTGTTAGATCCTAATCTTCAAATCCTATAACATGAAATTTAGATTTTCAGTTTTGACAACAAATATGAGACTTTTGCAATATGCCTAAAAAACGCTGAATTTTAACTTTCACGTTACAAATGATCTTACGTCACAGGAAATGCTACCGCGAAGACAGCATTGGGGCGAATTTATAGCTGAGGTTGTATAGTTTCGAAAAACATACTGGTAAAATTGAAAAGAATGGATTTTAAATCGTTAAAGATCGTTTGTAATGTAAAAGTTTAAATTTAGAGTTTTTTAGGCATATTTCAAATGCCTCATATTTGTTGCCAAATCGGAAAATCAAAATTTCATGATATAGGTTTTAACCTTAGGCGTTAGGTGCGTCGATATTACGGACTCGATTAGGCGCGTGGGCTGCAATGGTAGCCCAATTTATTTATGAATTTAAATTGGTTAATTTATTTCAACTTAAATTAAAAAATTTTAAAATTAATAATTTTATATTGGAATTAGACGATAATATGAAAATAATATAAAATAAACAATGGAAACTTCTAAAAATTTAAATAAGCATAAAACAAAGTACGAAAATTGCATAAAAACCTTGTTTTCTGTATTAAAAAAGCATATATAAGAACATTAAATGCAACATGCATTAGATAATTATCTTAGGATAAAACCAAAACACAAAGATTAATTTTTGCACTAATAATTTTTAATGGAAAATAGACTAAACTTGCTGCATGCACTCAATATAGATCTCCGTCAAATGTTCTTTGAAGGCATATCTTTTATACTTTTCACATTTTTCGATTTCGATTTATCGCGTTTTCGATCACAAAATATACATCGTCTGACTGTATTTTGACTTGTCTGAGGGGGCGGTATTGCAATATCTGTAATTCCTAACAGAACACGGGAGCGCCGACGAAGTTCCGAAGGGACTTGGGGAATCTTAGATCTAAATTCAATTTTCCATGCCAGTTTTTCTATAAAATCCAACCTTGCAACCTTTTTGCTAAAATTGTTAGATTTATAAATGTATAAAGAATTTATTGCTGCTATATTCAAGAGGTCATAAAAAATTACCATTGGGTATTGACGAGTGTTTCTCGACATAATTATCTTTTTCACACAATTGGTCTAATCGGTCAACAGTAAATTTTGTCCGTCTATATATTTTAGTAATTTCAGGTTTTTTAGCGTATTCTGTTTCATTATTGATTGCATCGTCATGGGACATTCTTTAAATTAAGATTACAGTTTTTTTGGCATTATGATACCATACTCCTCGAAAATTTTAAAACCACAATTACTACTTTTTCTGTTTTTTTTGCAATGTTATTTATCCTATTTTCTGTAAAAAAAAACAAGTTTTATGGTAATCGAGAAATTACCTAACAAAAAATGCTTATGAGATTAGGCACAAGTGCTACAATCGTAGCCCAGACGTAAAAATTCACTAATATCTTTCGTGCGTGTCCAATAAATTCTCAGCAAGTACTGATTATGTGATTATCGTTTATAGTACTACCACAGTATATTGCTTAAAAACAATTTTTAGCAATATACTGTGGTATAACTACCACTGTGGTATTATACTACCATATTTCTAGGAGAGATTCAGCTCAGAGGGCTGCTTTTGCTCGTGGTGTGAAATTCAATAAACCTGTTTTATGAAATGATCCGTTGTTTATATAATTTCACACATCGAACAATAGCACCCTACTGAGCTGAATATTAATAAGTCTCTTAGAAATATGGTAGTACTATAACGATGCCTAACAAGCAGCTATACAAAGCAGTGACAATGCAACCAAATATTGGCGCCAGCGGCAACAATTTAAAATGCGCTGGGCTACGTATGTAGCCACGCGACTAACGTAGGGCTTATGATAAGGTTTCAGCCGCTGAGTACTGTGCTTATTCGAGGCTTTTCTCAAATTAAGATTTCATTTTTTTTTATATTTGAAAATCTGTAAACCCTTGCTGTCTTAACTGCGGTGTATGACAGGTTCACGAACAGTTACTGATTAGAGTATGGTACCTTTAAGAGGGCACTGAAACGTTCTAATATGAACGAAGGTGGAATACTTTGAAGACAGACCTCCTTTCACATAAATTTAAAAAATCGAAGTATTGTTATTGATTGTGTATGTGGTTTATAAAATTTATAAAAAATTCCATTTTAAACCTATATTTTTATGACTGCTTTATTAAGATTGTATATTTTAGTATGAAATTGGTACTGCTCTTGTTAGCCATACAGTTATACACAGTCTATGGAACTGTCGGCAGATGTGGTTACGCCTTACTGAGTAACTGTTTCTGTGGTCATCAAATACACGACCGAGAATCACTCTTTGTGGTTAACTGCACCGGACATGGTTTTACCAATACTAGCATGCTGCGGGAACTACCCGAGGAAACTGAGATGTTAATCTTCACGGGCAATCATATCGGGACACTGCCCAGTAATGTTTTCGGCGAAGGAAGAAATATGACCAAACTTAGGTAATTTTTATATTTATTTTATATCTTATGAAATTTCCAGTTGTATTTTAAGGATGTTAATATTGCAATGTTATCTAAAACCTGTTACAAAAGCAAATACAATATTGTTTATATAATGTAGGGTAAGTCCGGGAAAAATGGCTCGTCGAGTGAGATGACTCGGTCGAATATATCACAGTTTTATCCTATTTGGAGTCAGTTGCATTGCGTTATTTGATGCGTGCGTATGGCATTAGCAATACTTTGTTGTTTCCGTGTTTTCCTAAGGTTGAAAGGTAAGATATTTAGAAATTCTTATTTACATCGTCTTAAAACTTTTTTCGGTAATCGTCAAAGCTATTGTACACTTATTTTTGTCTGTATTATATCGAAGTTAATTTTGATGGCATGGTTGTATCGTTGAGATTATGTAGGCATAGTTGCCAGTCCTTTCAAACGTTACTAATGCACGGAAATTAAGTGGGCCATCTCACTCTGATAATTCGGGTTGGTTGGCTCGCAAATGTTAGGAAGATATGGCCTAGCTCTTTATCTACTTATATAAGGATATTTTTAATAGATAAATGTATTTTCAGTAATGCCAACGAAGTATAACAGAAATGGAAATTGCCAACGTGGTTTATGGACTGAAAATCAACTAGAATCAGCCATACATGCCGTAAGAAGTGGAAAAATGGGGGTCAATGCTACCGCCAAAAATTTTAAAAGAAGAATGAAAATTGACAATTTAAAAAAAAATGCATTATGAGCAAGAAGTGTTCTCGGCGAAGAAAATGAAAATAAAATAAAGAAACATATCCTAAAGTTGCAGAAAGGTGGTTTTGCATCTACAAGAGCTGGAGTTAGAAAAAAACTTGCAGGTTTTAACTGGTTACAATCTTTCTTAAGAAGAAACTCTGACTTGAGTATAAGGAAATCGGAAGGGGTATCCTTAGCAAGAAGTCGAGGCATGAACAAAAAGGATGTAAGCAATTACTTGGATCTGTTAGATCAAGTTATTCTAGAAAATGAGTTGATGGAGAAGCCCGGGAGTTTATTTAACATGGACGAAACAGGACTCCAACTGAATAATAAACCTGCATTTGTTGTAGCCCAATAAGGATCTAAAAATGTAGCATCAGTAACTTCTTCGGACAAGGGGGAAACAATTACATGTATCACCTGTTGCAATGCTGAGGGTAACTTCCTTCCCCCGACCTGCATATTCAAAGGCAAAAATAAAAAGCAAGAATTCGAAGACGGCATGCCCAAGGATCAAAGGTTTACATGAATGAAAAGTCCGCTTACATAAACACAGATATATTTGTTGATTGGTTAACACATCACTTTCTTCCTAGAAAGCCCCCAGGAAAAGTCCTACTGGTTTTGGATAGTCATGCATGTCATTGCAACTCCGTCCAAATGTTAGAGTATGCAGACGAAAATGAGATCATTCTACTGTTTACCGCGCCACACTACACAGTTTTTGCAACCATTATATCGTTCATTTTTTAAGTCGGTTAAGTCACATTATTACAATGCTTGCAATTCATTTGTTAAAATAAGTCCTACAAAGAAGATTAATCGCTTGTATTTCGGCAAATTATTAAATGAGGCTTGGACAAAAGCTGCCTCAGTACAAAATGCTGTATCTGGTTTTCGCGCATGTGGTATTTGTCCAGTCGACCGGAATTCAATTCCAGAGTACGCCTTTCTTGAGAGTTCAAAACCTACCATCTACAAGCAGTTCGATCTCACACGTCACCATTAGAACTACCATCTATACCTGATAATAAGCCGGCCTGTAAAGAAAAAATCAGTCCCGGTAAAATTTTAGATAATATCTCTCCAGTACCTTCTACATCAGGTATTCCTCAAGTAAGGAAACGCGGTAGACAATTGGCTGCAGTACTTTTTACCCCAGTGAATTTTTTGATACGCAAAGATTTAGATGTTAAAAAGAAAGAAAAGGATACTAAAAAGAACAAAGGGCCTCTGAAAAAAAAAGTCAAGAAACTCAAGAACCAAAAGAAGATGTTTTGTGAGTCATCTTCTTCCGAAGACTCTGACGATCATATGGGAATTACTAAAGACTCTAGTGATGATGTACAAGATGAAACAAATTGTAAATGTGCCGGCCGTGGGGAAATATATTCAACCACATCGAAACAAGAAGACTGGGTACAGTGCGTGCATTGCAATTCTTGGTTTCATGAAAACTGCTCAAAATATGTTAATTTATGTGATATATGTGGAAAAGTATTGGCAAAAAACGTGCCAAATAAAGTTTATGATCGATCAACCCTTAGTGTCCGAGTCATCTCACCCTGACACATCGGGTGAGTTGGCCTTTTACAATTTTTTGTATTTTGATGTTTATTGTTTTTGTATGTAAGTATTTGGCTTAACCAACTCTATACACTTTCTTCTAATGGTATTTTAATATAAATATATAAATATTTCAGAGCGTAGACTTTTTTGTGCTAAGATACAGTCAAAAAAATGTGAGCCATCTCTCCAGGACTTACCCTATATTAGAAAAGATCTTGGTAATCGCAGATTTGTTTGGTGTTGTCACATTTTTAGATTAACGCATAAATAGATACAAAAAATTAGGTATTATAGACGTTGGATGATTGGAAATTGATGGGGTTAAAATTAATTTTGATGAAAGAATAATTAACCGAATTTCATTATACAAACTAACAAAATCGGATAGTGATCACTTTCGATAGTGTTTCTCTTCTGAATCAAAAACAATTCTAACAACAAAAAAAGAGAATGTTTCCTTTCGTACGTAAGATATTTACAGTTCAACTTACATTTGCACTATGTGATCTGCTAAAAAATACATAAGGTTATAATGAAAAGCATTAAGGTTTGTCTTTCAAAACTGTTCGTTATATATTTTTTCAGTTACTTCAGTAAGTTTGTTATTGTATGACGCTCCAACTGATTTTAAACGTGTCTACTAACTTCCAAACAAACTGCCTTTAGGTCTTCTTTTTTCTGATTTACCTCCATTTTAATACACTACAGTCAACTATTACCACTCACATCAAAAGCACACAGCTGACACATGCAGATGTTTAGAAGTAGCAACATGAACCGTTGGGCTTACGACCTTACTAAAGAAAATGGTGCCGTACATACAGCCGTCAAAATCTGTGAAAAGTTCCTAAAACTTTCTTATACCTATATCTTAGACAAGCGAGGACCTTAGAATATTTCTACGTCAATAATGCATTTTTAAAAAAATGGCAGTTTGGGCAGTTTCTAATTTTCACTCTTCAATTAATATACTGGAGAAATAAAAATATCGGGAAAGAAATGAAAGGCAGAGTTTACAAAACAGTCATCAGACCAATAATGGCATACGTAGCAGAAACACGACCTGACACAGAGAGGACAAAAAGTTAGAAACAGCAGTGATGAAAACACTTTGAAATTGATGGTAAGACGCTATGGGACAGAGCTAGAAGTACAGATATACGACATGGTGGAGAACATCAAGAACTGGGTAAGAAATAGAAGAGTAGAATGACAACAGATAGAATAGTAAAAACGGCAAGAGACGGTCCCCAATAGAAAGACGATCAGTAGGAAGGCCACGAAAACGATGAAACGACACTTTACAGAGTAGAAGAAGGATAATTAATATACAAAAAGCGAGTAATTAGTTGCAAGGGAAATCCCAGGAAGCCTACGAATTAAAATTCAAAATCAACTGAAACCTTTAAATAATTAGGAAGCCAAATATTATCAAAAGCAGGAAGTAACAAAGAAATACATTCCAGAATTGGCCAGGCCAGATCAGTCACTAAACAGTTACACAGACTATTGTGGAGTAATAAGAAAATAAAAGAAGAATTTATAAAACAATAATATAAAGTATTGGGTTGTACAGTGCCGAACAAAGTCATGGAAATGAACTACTGAGAGATATGGAAACTGATCTAGATACACAGATTGGAGCCAAAAGATTAAATTGATATGGAAACCTACAGTAAATGTCTGAAACAAGATGACCAAAAACGATAGAAAAATGGTCTCTGCCCACTATAAGAAAACGAGGTATACCAAGAAAGCTGGAGAAAAGATGTCGAAGATTCAATTACTGCCAGATATTTAAAAACGAAAGATTGCTTCGACAGAAATTGTTGGAAATTAGGAAGCGAGAAACGGCGCCAGCTGTAGAAAACTCGCCTATTATATTTACATATTTAAACCCAAAAAAAGAATAATATCCGGAAGAGAAGGGATTTACCAATAGGTCAACATATTAGCATACTTAGAAGTCAAGGACAGATGGAGACCAATACTAAGAATACGGTCAAATATATAGCTCTCTAATTGATCTTCAGTTTTTTTAAAGTAGTTTTTACTAAAGCACTTTTTCTTCGAAGAGCATAACATCTGGCAATTGATATACTTTGCTCTAGTGAACGAACCTTAAAATGAATCTATTCTTCATAAGTTTCCAAGCATTGTTCATAGATATTTATGTGATTTGATATAATATTCGTAATTGATCAGATGGTTTTAATAACACTTTCATTATAGGATTATTGATATGAGCAATAATGGAATTCAGGACGTTAAAGGAAAAGCATTTCACCACGTTGTAAACGTCACCCGCCTAATCTTAAATCACAACAATATCTCCATTTCCGATCAATATGATAAGAATTACCACCACCCCAGAGTATTTTCGAATTTTTTTAATTTGGAGGAACTGCACTTGACAAATGCGTTTGCTGATAATACTGATGCCGCTCTTGCAGATGATCTTCATGATATATTCGTAAACAGTAACCTTACGAAGTTGTACAAACTCCATCTGGAACAGAATGAAATCAAGAACTTTAAAGATGACCGGGTGTTCTGTGATTTGCCTAATATACATGACATACATTTAGGTAAGTAATGAATCTTTTTTATTATGTATTAGAGTTATAAATTTTCAACTGATTTTCTCATCCTCATGTATACTGATATCTAGTCCAATAAAAAGAATAAAATGTAAAGTAATTCGTTTTAGAACGAATCCTTGAGAAAATTGAAGTTTTGGTATGAAAATACGAATTTATGTCAAAACTTTCAGTTTAAAATATCGGCGTTATTGTTTAAATATTGATTTTATAGCAAAAATCACCAAAAATCACTATTTTTATTTTTTTTTTCAATATTTCTTTCCTAATTAGAAGTTGTAATTTTTATTTTTTTGAAAGATTATGAAAAAACGATTCATTTGTGACCTAAATGAAATTTGGTTGATAATGTATTTAAACAATTGCGAGAAACTACAAAAACTTGTAGGAGCAAAAAACATAAAAAATAGGCATACATAATAATAAAAGTTACATAAAAATATGTCTTTTTACACCCTTAAGGTCGATTCAGACACATCAGTCACGTCTCGTCACAGTGATTGCGCCGAACCGAACAATCCGTCATACAAAATATTCTTTAAAGGTCAATTCAGACACATCAGTCCCGTCATAGTCTCGGCGCCGAACCGGTCCTGTTTGGTCACAGAACTATCAACTATCTGACAGCTGGGAAACTGTTTGTCAACTGATGAGTGTGAATGCCGGTAACATATTTGTATTAAAGAATATTTTGTATGACGGATTGTTCGGTTCGGCGCAATCACTGTGACGAGACGTGACTGATGTGTCTGAATCGACCTTTAAGGTACACATAGATTTTTGTTGAAAAATATCCATATTTTTAAAAGTTATTCCAATTGTTTATTATACAGTTGTTTATTTGATAATTAAAAACTTGGTTATTTCCGTTACCTTAGAATACTTTATAAATTTAGAACATTTTGTTCATTTTTATCTATATTTTAAGAAATGTATTAGTTGAAATACCATTTTAAAAATTATCTTCTTAAGGTGCCTTCTCCATTACTGGAGGTTGGCTACAGCTACAGCAAATTGCTCTCTATCTTGAGCTGTTCTTAGCATCGAATGTGTGTCCATGCTTGTCCAGTCTTTTAAATTTTTCATCCAGGAGCATTTCGTTCTTCCTGGACTTCTTTTTCCTTCCACTTTTCCTTCCATTAATAGTCGCAGGAAGTTGTATTTTTCTGCTCTGTAAATATGTCCTAGATAACTCGTTTTTCTGGTTTTTACAATATTTAGGAGTTCTCTCTCAGTCCCCATTCTTCTCAGCACCTCGTTGTTGGTCATGTGCTCTGTCCAAGAGATCTTCAGCATCGTTCGAAAAACCCACATCTCAAAGGCTTCTACACGTCTCATACTTATGATTCCGAGAGTCCATATTTCCACTTCGTATAGAAATATGGATTAAATGAATGTTTTTACAAACTATCAGATATACAACGGTAAGGTAGAGTTTATTAGAATTTTTTTCATTTTTTGAAAAGCGGACCTTGCATACTCTATACGAGCAGGTATTTCAACGTCGTAGTTAAGATCGTTTGTTATCCAGCAACCAAGATACTGGAATTTTTGTACGGGTTCTATCTGTTTGTTGTAGATACGAATATTAATGTCGGCATTTAGTGCACGTGCAACGGCCATTACTTTTATTTTATTTGTGTTTATATTCAGAACCAAGCTGTCTTCCTCTCTGGTTATGGCATTTAAAAGTCGTTGCAAACCCTCTGCACTGTCCGCAATAATGACGGTATCGTCTGCGTATCTTAAGTTGTTTACATACTCTCCTTTGATTTTTATTACTTCTTCAATATTTTCGAGGAAGCAACACCTTATGACAATGACGAAGATGCTATTAGCAGTAAAAATTCAAAACGACTCGTCAACCCCATTTCAAATACATAGGGGGTTAAGGCAGGGAGATGCGCTGGCGTGTCAGCTTTTTAATGTCGCCTTAGAAAAAGTTGTACGAGACGCTAATTTAGATAGCAGGGGAACAATATTTAATAGATCAGTCCAAATTCTAGCATATGCAGACGACGTGGACATTATAACAAGAACTAGGGCGAGAACTGCGGAAATCCTAACCGAGCTAGTAGCAGCAGCAGAACGAATGGGGTTACATATAAATCAAAATAAAACCAAATTCATGGCGACTAACACAATCACAAGAGCTGGAAACGTTGACGCAAATTTAATCATCAATGACCAAAACTTCGAAGCAGTCAATGAGTTCATATATCTAGGGATATCGGTTAACCCCAATAACAATACATCTGAGGAAATAAAAAGGCGAATAATAATTGCAAATAGGTGTTATTATGGTCTATCAAAGTACTTAGCTAACAAACGTCTGTCTCAAAAAACTCGTATAAGGCTGTATAAAACACTGATAGTCCCCGTTCTCACATACGGATCAGAGGCATGGACGCTAACGAAAACAGATGAATCCGCTCTATCCATTTTTGAAAGAAAGGTGCTACGCAAGATATTTGGAGCGGTCTGTGAGAACGGAATATGGAGGCGTAGATATAACTTCGAACTGCAGAATATCTACAAGCATACGTTTGGTGGTAAAGATATTACCACTATAATTAAGCGAAACCGCCTGCAGTGGGCAGGCCCGGGCCTCTGAATCGAACATGATAAAAAAGATTCTAACAGCGCAACCTGTGGGAATGAGACGACGGGGTAGACCAAAGCTGAGGTGGATGGATGGGGTAACACAAGATGCGGAGAAGATCGGAGTCGGCAACTGGAAAATTCAAGCAAGGGACAGAACAGAATGGCGTAGAAAGCTTGAGAAGGTCGAGGCCCTCTAAGGGCTGTAGCACCAAGATGATGATGATAATATTTTCGAGGGCATTTTGGAAGATCTTCTCGGAATATATAGTAAACAATAGTGGAGAAAGCAGACAGCCCTGGCGAACTCCTCTTTTTATTGACATTTCTGCTGTCACACGATTGTCTATTTTAATCGACGCCATTTGATCCCAATATAGTTTTTTAATAAGGTCCACCGTGTTATGGTCTATACCATGTTGTGTTAGGGTTTCTATGAGTTCTGGGTGTTTTACTCGATCAAATGCTTTTTCGTAGTCGATAAAACAGATAAACACGTCTTTTAGTTGATCACGGCAGTCGCTCAGATTTCTTTTTACTCAATTTTGAGTAAAATTTTCAGAAAATGGTTCATTAGGCTAGTTAATCTCAACTGTGAGCATCTATTTGCTTTATTTTTCTTAGGTATAGGTATAAACGTCGATCTAAGCCAGTCTTCTGGGAAGATCCAGTGATATATATTTTGTTAAATAGTAGCCTTAAGGACTGAAGATTTTCTTCATTGATAAGTTTTATTATCTCTATATATATCTTATCTGGACCCGAGGCCTTTCGTGTCTTTGTCGAATTGATTGTTTTTATAAATTCCGATGTTAATATATCAAGTATTGTGTCTTGTACTATATTCATTTGTAGTTCTGTTCTCTCGTCATCAAACAGATCTTCGATGTATTTTTCCCATATATTTCCTACATTTTCTGGGCTAGATACTATTTGGTTGTTATCATCTACTAGAGTTACGTCCATCAGTTCTAGAATTTCTTCTGTCCTCCACGTAGTCTTTGTTTTTCTTGTGTTGTCTTGTAGTTGCTCTGTTAGTAGTACCAGCATAGTATATCACATGGTTATCGATGTTTGTCTGTCCAGATTAAATCCACCTAACTTCACTGACTCCGAGAATGTTGACTTATATTCTTTTCATTTCTTTCACGATGTTATGAAATTTTCCTGGCATAGAGATTTTGTATTTCAGATTACAATACAAGTCAATGTGTCATTTTTGTTTTCCACTTTCGGGTGGTTCCTAGCATTTAACGTGGAGATTCTTAGCACCCCTTGACCATTTAAGGTCTGCTACGGACTAGGGACCTTTTGTTTTCCATATCTTGCCATAGTCATAATATCTTGAGAATATTTAGTGTATTGGTTTCTCCTTGATCTGATCTGATTCCAAGCCTATTAAGAAGTCATTCTTCTCTAGCCTTAGAGTTAGTAATGGCATAGCTGCTGCCCTATACCATGTTCTCAGTTGATCCGCGGGTTCTTATTTGGCCAACCTTATTCGCACATATCCTGTGTGATATACAGGACGTCCCCTATCAGCCATATGGGACGCGCAGTGTCCGGGTTGAAGACTTCCACGCCCAGTCTGTCTTATGCGGAGTTCTGCAGAATCTCTACTTAGTTCAGAACTCTTCCTTCACAAAAGCTGAGACCGGCTACGGACTCAGCTTTTGTGTACAAAATTATAACCCCCTAAAATTAAGTTTAAATGATGACCTAATTTGTTTATAAAGTTTTTCGTTAATAACTTTACAAGAAATGAAATAATGTCATTTCGATATTCGTTTAGATAGTAATTTTTCACAAATTAAAAAAAATTGTTCTAGGACCATTTGTCACCGTGACAGCCATTTTTTTTTTCAAGAAATTCACCATTTGTGTATTTATTAATATTAAGAAATGAAACAGTGCTAATATAACATGCATTACTTATACTTGAGAATAACTATTATAAAAATTGAGAATAGTTTATTTTATTACTATAAATAACAAGTTTTAAAGTGTGAGTTCGAAGTTTCAAATAATTCCAAATATGAAAAATGGTGGGACAAATAAACTCGTCGCTGTCAAAAGTGAAATCAGAACTTCATATTAAATTCGTCTGAAAATTTTACAATATCTCTGGAAGTACTGGGCCAATTTTGATGTTTTTTTAATCTGGGGTATTTTGGCAAAATAATAATAAATGCAGGCAGGGTCAGTTTTTCAATAAATATTTATTAATTCATTATCAACAAATTATTATTGAAAAATTTATTTTTTGGAAATTTCATTATATTTTGTGTCAGTATCATAAAATAAACTTCATTATACATAATTAATAACACAATTTTTTTAAATATTTTTTTACTTATTAAAGATCATATAAATCATATTAGACTAGACAAATTATAGATAAGTGGAATAATAAAATGATTTAATTATAATTAATATAAGAATTATGGTACCAAATACATTTTTCATCATTATCCTAATAAATATGGAACCGAATACATTTTTCATCATTATCCTTGCTATTAAAAGACAATAAACGATTAAACAACACACTTTTATTCATATATACACCTAAATATTGGAATTTTATTTCTTTCCTTGATAATACGTCTACTTCAAGCTTACATTTTAGAGTTATTGGTGATGTGGTCATTCATTTTATTTTAAATGCAAACATTATTAATTTGTCTCAGTTAGGAACAGATACATTTCCAGTAGTATTAGTGTTTCATTTCTGAATTTTTATAGGGGAAATGTGCCTATGATGGTCCCCTTAAGAAAATAGCTTCATAATAATTTTAATTATTTACTTAGCAGACTTTAAATATGACCACATAACGTCTCGTTATTTGTACAATATGGCAAATGTTTCAAATTTTGCAGAAAAAGTGATGTTAAAAATTTATTCATATTTTACTAAAATCCTGTTAAGGGTCCATCATGGGCATATATGCGCTCATGATGGACCCTTTGGTACGCCCATGATGGAGTCGTTGCATTTTGTGTAAAATAATTAAATACCAAATTATTTTATTAGATCAAAAGACATTACAAACGATAAAAAATATTACACATGGTATTTTTAAGAATAAAAAAATTACGCGCACAATTCACACACAAATTGTTTATGTCGAGGATTTACATCTGCACATTCAGTGTGACACCAATTCTTACACACTTGACAACGAATCCATTTTTCATTGGATCGTGAATGCGAAAATAGTTCGTTACAGTAGATGCAAGCTGCATCGTCCGAGTCGCCTTCTACAAAAGAGCATTCACAATCGTCTTCAGAACCACTTGTAGTTGAAACACGAACTTGCCTTTTCACTTTTCTGGCGTCTTGTTTCCTTTTTTTTGCTTCTTTGTCTGCAATTTTTTGTTTTATATCTTCAATTTCTGGCGTTGAATTTAAGTATCCTGTTTTACCCCGTTTTCTACCCCTTTTTTGCATTACTTGAGATACTCCAGCTAAAGGAGGAGGACAAATATCTTCTACCGAGATGTTTAGAACTGACGATGATGTTGATTTCTGATCAGTGGGGCTTTTTGATAAACTTTCAATCGAAGAAACTTTTTGGCTCCAATGTTCCGGTGGTGACTTCTGGTCAGAACATTCTGGCAGTGGGTTTTGTTCAGAATTTTCTCTATCTGTTGTTATAGACGGCAAAAATTGCCAATCCTCGAAGACATCTGGATTGAATGGTTGTATTCCTGTCTTTTTAAATGCATTGATTGCATTTGATGGTAAAGCACTTTTTAAATACGCTCTATTAAAGAGACTGGCTACTTTAAATTGGGTCACCGTTTTACCTGGATTCTGTCGCAGCCATAATTGAATTTCTTGGCCGTAGTAAATTTGAAGTTGTCTAAAAAATCCTACGTCCAAGGGTTGAACGTGATGAGAACAGTGAGCAGGAAAACAAAACATAATAATACCGTTTTCCTTTGCAAACTGGAGAGCTTCAAAACTTTTGTGACTACCATGGCCATCGAGTAACAACAAAACTTTGTTGGTTTTAGAAACCTTTGTATACCTTAAAAAATGTTGCAGCCACAAATAGAAAATATCGGAAGTCATCCATCCTTTTTCTTGAGCGAAGGCTATACTTCCAGTAGGTGCATCGATCATAAGTTCATCTTTCTTTCTCTGTCGAGGAAAAATCAAAGCAGGAGGAACATATCTTCCAATTGCATTCATTGCACATACGACCGTAACATGTAGACCGCGCTCTGCACTACTTAAAGCACCAACTTGTTTGCGACCTTTACTAACATAAATTTTCTGCGATTTCTTTTACACAGTTGTCAAACCGGACTCGTCCATATTATAAATGTTTTCCGGTGGAAAGTGAAACTCGTCTAATATATTTGCTAATGCAGTAAAATAGGCACATATATTTGGTTTATTAAAAGCTTGAGCCCTTGCCAACGAAGTATTTTCTGGAGTGCGTAATGATATTCGATAATTTCGCTTTAAAAAGCCTCTGACCCATTTCCAGCCTGCCATCCTGGTTTCCTTATTAAAATTGTGGCTAATATTGTTTCTTTCAGCTACTTCGTATACAAGTTTTCGCAAATCTTTACTAGTCAGGCCAAAAAAACGAGTTTCCATAGTAATAATATGGTCAGCAACTTCCTGTTCAATAGTAGTGGAGAATATTGGTCTTCGTCCTCCCAAATCACCTTTGATACTTCCTTGATGTTTAATAAAGCGCCTTTTCAAAGTCGTTTTTGGAACGTTAAATGTTTTTGCTGCCAGCTTACACCCCATAGTTTTTTCTTGTATGCTTTTTAAAGCTTGTTGCATATTACTCTCGTCCACTGTTGCCTTTTTTGTAGAGCCATCCCTGTAAAATATATTATGTTAATCATTAAGTAACAAAAACTGAAGGTGTGTCCAATTTTATTTTCTTTTTTCCTATAATGGACCCCTAATCCGTCATAGGTAACGACACAGGGGTCCATCATAGGCAAATAGACAAGGCAGCAAATTTAATTCTGTTACTTTTGTTTTGACCATTTTAACCTAAAACAAAGTATAGTATTTGACAAAGAAAGTGTAGTCATTTTATACAAAACAAAAGCAACACTTAGCTTAACGTATGTTACCAGTAAAATGCTACTTACCAAAAAAATTTATTAGATCAGCAACGCCAAATTTTAATTTTATTTCACAAATTTACTGTTATAACAGCCACGTGTCTGAAACTTTGCAAATACTAAACTACAAACTTCGTGCGCAAGCGGCAACCGGCGATGTGTATGTAACCGCGCGCTATTTAAAATTACAGCCGGGGGTCCGTCATAGACAGGGGTCCAACATAGGCACACTTCCCCTACTCACATTTCTGATTTTGGTGTTTTTTTTTTATGTTTTTTTTACTCTTTATTCACTTATACTTTTACTGTTGATATTTCACTTTTTTCCTTTGATTACAAATAACATTAATTTATTTTCAGGCGACAACAATATTCCTAGTGTGAATTTCAATATAACGTGTCTTCCAAAGCTGCGTTACTTGGACCTAGAACGCAACAACATAAGCAAGTTCTCGCAGCAAGATTTAGACAACTTCGATAAACTGGCATTTCCTTACAGAACTACACAAAATCTGACAATAGACATTGATGGAAACCCTTTTAGATGTGACAATGCTGTGAAGAATCTTTACAATTGGTTGCACAGAACTAATGTAAAGGTCAGAGATGTAGATATTTTGGAATGTCATCAAACTAAATATGGTACCAAATATATAATAAATTTAAAGAATTTGGCCGAGTCAAAGAATGCCAAAATATCGCAGGCGTTGACAATTATTTTGGTGGTACTTGTTTTAATTTTGTTGTCACTGTTAAGTGCGTACGTATACTTGAAGAGAGAAAGTATGAAGGGAAAATTAAGTCCTTTATTTGAGGCTGTTACTAGAAAAGTTCATTATAACAAAATCGAATCGCAGGATGTCTGAGTTTAAGCTTATTTTCGAAAATTTTAATGTGTGATATGGAACTAACAAAAGTTTGTTCAGATAATTTTTGATAAAAGACACCTCAGAGGACGTTTTTTTTAAGTGTGTTTCAAACAAGGCAAACTAAAGACAGTATTTAAATTCAGTCAAAGACAAAATTTTTAACACATTATCTGTCATGTTGATCTATAAGATCAATAATATTCTTTAATGTAGCACCACCTCGGTCTTATCACAAAATATTTGCCATATACGTTACCTCGGTATGTACCTACATATTCATGATTTTAATACTATCGCTACGGTCCGGAACGTCTTTATCTATTTTACAGGTCAGGTCGTTGTTATCTTTACTCTGAAACTGGAAATATGTATTTCAAAAGTATGAGAGAGATACCTGCTTCAGTCCTTTAATTAGCCTCTTCAAGGAGAGGTAGCCGCCTTTGGATTGAGTCGGGGCACTAATTTTGTAAATGCCGGTAGTAAACGCGGCAAAAGCAGAGAATAACGCGACTGTGTTTTGTTGGTTGACTCTTGGAAGATAGTCGGAAAGCTTCTTTGGGGTTGGTCGGATGGTTAAATCGATACAAACACTGATTAGGGATACTCCATAAAAGGCTGATTTCTTTCAGAATTTGTAGTTTTCTTTAGAAAACGGCTGAAGGGCTACCTGTAGCTAGTTCCTCACCTAGGACAGATATCGTTGTGCAATGAGGTGAGGGAAATTACAGAAAACCAATCTTCCTTTATCCTTTAATGTAACTAATGACATTTTAAGAAGTATAGGCGAGTGAACCCACTATACAGGGTGTAGAGTGAAGGAAAGATAGATTCGTAGGGTAGGGTAGTAGGTACCTGAAAAGGGTGCCCTCTGGAAGGAAAGACACTCTAAGGACACTTCGGCGTCTTAAAAGGAACTTGAGCTTCTCAAAGTGTCCTGCTGGCGTGGATTTGTGTCATTGTTTGGTAGACGGTTTTTTTGTTGGCTCACATTGAAATTTCGTGGCCGTACATGTTTTGGAAGATCTCAGTACAGACACGAGTGACGTCGTTCCTTTTTTAGGAAAGACGTTGAACAGGATCATAAACATGAAGACACAAGTGAAGTAATGGCTTCATTTTCTAGGAGAGGTTATTTATGGGAGTTTGTTTGGGTGCAGTAACAGGTGGTGGTTATTGGGGGAGGGGGCGGTAGGTGAAGTTGAGTAGTTTCTTTGACAATTAGGGTAATTTTTGGGGTTTTATATTTTTTAGGTAATTTTGTGTTAACATGTCCGCTTTGGAAGCATTTTGAGCAGTACTTTGGCAGGGTTATGTATTCATATTCTTGCCCCGTTTTCTGCATGTAAAACCTTAATAGATTGGAAATTTGAGCCATGGATGTTGTTTCGAAAATTTTATGAAATTTGCACTGGCTGCAAATATTTGTAGGAATTTGTTTGATTTTGTATCAACAAAAGAAAAAAACACTGGATAATAGTCGACTTATTTTAAATAATTGAGAATAGAATACATATTTGTCAAACTGGTGTCGTTCACACAGAAAGTGAAAAAAATAATTCGAGACACCTCAACAAAGAAATAAAATGAAGAAAAAAAAGAGACTTTAAAGCCAGAAGTTAGACTGTCAAAGACCACACTCTGAAGATCATACTACCGTGTTCAGAGACGTGAAGATCATACTGCCAGGATTCATATAGAGACGACCAACAGCTGGATCATAATCACCTTAACTGAGAAGAAATGAAAGAAAAAGTAAAGTAAGACTAATTATCAACAAAGTTCAATGAAATAAGGTACCACGTTGAGATATGATAACAGCAGAAATGTTCAAGGAAATAAAAGAAATCGGAATAAAATTGCTTCATCTAGTCTAAAAGATCGCTGTGGGAAAGATTCTTAAAATATGGAGAGACATTAATATCTCTAGTACTGACATAAGGATGCGAGTTTGGGACATTAAAGCAATCAGAAAGAAGAAAAATAGGCGTCACCGAAATGTTCTGCTAAGTAGAGAAGAAAGTTGTGAATTCCATGGATCCACCGTAGAATAAATAATTCTATTCTAAAGGAACTTAAGATCTGTAAGAGATCTATGCATGATCTAATAGATATAACTAGACATAGACATCTGTGGAGACGGACCATATACAATATCACAACAACTACATTCCCTCCAGAGGGTCGAGTGAAGAGAGAGAGAGAGAGATATGTATTAACTAATAATTGAGGGTTATGGACAGATGTTTCGACATTAGAAGGAACTTTAAGGGAATGCATTACCTCTTGACTGGAAATGTAAGTTGTAGGGACTGTTCTTGAGGGTTTCACATGAGTATTCAGACCTATAGTTCAGGAAGATATGGGGCATACCTGCGGTATGCAGATAATACAATGTATCACCTGCGGTATGCAGATGATACAATAGTGTTTTCGAATACTATAGAAGGACTGCAAAACTTAATGAACAAAATAACGGAAACAAGTAGAACATATGGACTAGACATAAACACCAGCGAAACCAAGCTAATGATCATCAGCAAGGAAAACATAACTGGAACAAATATGTATGTGAACCAAATGAGAATTGAACGTGTCTCACAGTACAACAATTGGGAACTGTAATCAGTGAGTCGTGAGACAATACCCAATAGATTAAATGTCGCATCGGAAAAGCAAAAAAGCGCATTCTTAACTATGAGCTCTGTATTCAAGAGCCATGACCTCACCTTCTCTACGGCGTGCACATTGAAGGCGGAAACTCTATCAAAATTTCAAGCTTTTGAGCTTTTCAGCTATGGTTATACAGAAGGATCCTCAAGATAGCGTGGACAGACAAAGTCACCAATGAAGAAGTACTATGGGGGATTAACACAACCGCGGATTTGGTCAACATCGTGAAAGGCCGTAATCTGCAGTACTTGGGACATATAACTAACAAATCAAGGTAGACATGACATAACATGAGCTACGCTAATGCACTTTGCAAGGTAAAATTGAAGGAAAATGGGCCCCAAAACGAAGGAGAATATCCTGTTTTGCTAACCTGAGAGCATGGTATACAAAGACCACAATACAGCTATTCCGTATAGCAACCAAGAAAGTCATCATAACCAGAATGATTGCCAACGTTCGGTATAGACAGGCACCCTAAGAAGAACTTTTTTGTGGTGTTATACCCACTGTAAGTTCAGATTGATCCTCTGCGTATATAATATCTATGTTTGGGACCTACAGTTTAACGTTGATTCCGAATGAATAAATTTAGAAGAGCTGTACTAAACAACTCGGTGATTTGTTATTGCCTTCTCTTCCCATTGCCTAGGTCACAAAATCGAACACCAAGCTACGGCGAGTGGGGCAAAATAGTCCCTGTCACATTTTTTTAGGCTAAAAATAACAACAGTTTAACCAACAATAAGAGTAATATAGCAGAACCTATTTGTTTGAAAAAATTATATATAAGTTTGCAGTTAAAAAAATAGCAATATTAGACCCTTTTACATCATAGTTAAAAACATTTATTATATCAAGAAAAAAAGGGCAAATAGACAATTTCTGCTTTTTTTTGTAATTTGCTGTAATTTGGTGTGAAGGTGAAAATAGTTTACCCTTGCGAAGGTTTTGAACTCCTTATCTGAGAAGGTGCCTAAGTTAGTGAAGAAATATCTTATGGAGTTACAAAAGTATCCCCTAGCAATGATGGAATTACATTCCTTTCTGTTCGGAAGTACTAATTTCGGAAATTGGGAATAAAGTTTCATTTTCGGATAACTCCTCCGGGCTGTTTTTAAAAAAGCTGATATCATCTGAAGATCGTCCACTTGCTTTCCATTCTTCTGACTCGTCTGATGAAGATATAATACGCATTTTTTTCTTGTAGGTAAAATATTTGGAAACGAAGAAATCCTCCTTCTCTTTGTAGAGAAGGAATTCTTTGTTCGTGGATGGGATCAACGGTTTGATTTTACGCTATAAGTCGATCAGTTGTACACGATGGTTTTAATTTTCAATCTGGAAAGATGCTCGGATTAAAAGCCCATATATGTCTGTTGTGTTGAATCTACTGAGGCCGTTGTTAAGTGTGGCAGCTTTTCCATACGCTCTTCCAAATTGGGTATTTTATACAGAGTTGTAACTGTTCTAGGGTTAATTTTAGTCCATAAAATAACTTACTCTTTAAAATACGCCATCAGAGGTGGTGAAAACAGTGCCACAACCAATAACTGCTCTTGTGCGTACAATGTGAACAAAACGACAGCATTATAATGCAATTTTCTCTACAGTATTTATTCTATAGCTTGGTAATTTTGGACAACTTTTTAGAACCGTCTGGATGACAAACTCATCCACACGGTCATTCTATTTCATCTAAAAAGTGATAAAACTTTAGAGCATTTTATGATAAATTATAGGGAGTAGGTTTTTGTTCTGATAACATACTCACTACTGTATAAACATACCCAAGCTTAAATGGAATCACCCCATACTTAATAAATATAAAAATACGCCATTAATATTGATTGATTTTAATAACAAAAACCGATGGTTTTACAAAAAGCAGGTAACAATTATTTCTTCAATATTGATTTTGTTGATAAAATTGGAGTTCATACAATTTTATGTTGTTAAAAATGAATGTTAAAAAAAATAAACCATAGTATCTCACCCAGCACTCCCAATACCATTTCTAGAAGCTACAGGTGTTAATGTTTTGATCGAAACAATCAGGGAAACACTTCGTGCTCGAGATTTATTTAGCAGAAGACAATTAAAGTTCTCAGAACTATCAAAGCAGAAGACAATTAAAGTTCTCCGAACTATCAAAACAACATAAAATAATCGACAGGCCGAATTGGTTAATCATCTATTTATACTGCTCAGTGAAAGATGGACAAAATGTCTTATTTTCGGATCAAACCATAATTGACCAGCAATCAGGCGAACTCGACTTTTGAGAAGTCGTATAAGGTTAGTAAAGGATAGATTGCTTAAACAAAGACAACAGAGATATTTGCAGTATTTTAGACACATTGCTAGAACAGGTACGATGGAAAAACTGATAGTAGAGGGTAGAGTTGAAGGAAAGAGGCCTAGAGGAAGATCTCCAAGCCGTTAGGTAGATCAAACAAAACTATTGATTAACCAATGGTTGCATGAAGCCGAACAACTAGCCCAGGACAGGGAAGGATGGAGATGAATCGTGAAAAAACTGTAAAGGCTTGATGGTGTCACCACATCCCAAAAGGGATTAGGACTGAGGAGAAGGAGGATAAGGTTAGCTAGGCCAAACGTGATCCCATCTTTATCCAAATTTACATTTACCTGAGGAATTGTAAGGTTTAGAGACGGGATTATGAAGAGGGAAAAGAACTAATTTAGTTCAAATAAGATAAACCATTAGGCCAAGAGTATATGGATTTAGGGTTTAAACCCATTGCTGATGATTTTTTATTTATGCTTGATAGTGCACCTTCGCATTCGAGCAAAAATGCCAATATTTTTTTTAAAATGAAAGGAACTTAGTGGAACTAAATGTGACTAAATGGAACTTAGTTACAATATCATTCTTGACCACTAGACCTTAATTCCATAGAACAGTTATGGGATGTGATCAAAAGAAGACTGTCAATACAAAACAGCTGATTCGAGCAGCTTTACATAAATGAAAATCTACCTCGGGAAGAAATTAATAACAATTAAAAGTATGTCACAACAGCTAACGCCAAGCTGCAAAAAGTGCAGCGGCTAGCTTGTCTGGGAATCACAGGGGCAATGTCAACATGCCCCACTGCAGCTCTAGAGGCGATGCTGAACCTTCCTCCCTTGCAGTTCTGCATAAGGAGGGAGGCAGTAACTACCGCCTTAAAACTGCGACAGACACAAATAATGAAACCTGGAGATCTAGTTGGCCACCTGAAAATCTTGAAAGAAATTCCATTGGATTCTAAGAACACGCCGACAGACGCTATGCCAGTCAAATTCGACTTTGAAACACCCTTTGAAGTGGTCATAAAAAACCACCAAATTGGTGAAGAAATTGAGCCAAAAATGGAAGAAGGTTCACTCGTATGGTATACGGATGGATCTAAGATAGATGAAAGGGCAGGAGTGGGAGTTACTGGGCCCAATTTCAGGCTATCTAAATCCCTTGGAAACGCCCCAACTATCTTTCAGGCAGAAATACATGCTATAGACATAAGTGCCCAAGAATGTTTCAACCGAGACACCCTTAATGCAAAAGTCTTTATTTTATCACACAGCCAAGTCGCCTTAAAGGCTCTAAAGTCATTTACATGTGAGTCAAAGTTGGTTTGGGACTGTAAACAATCTCTCAAGAAGCTGGTGGAACGCAACAGTGTAACTGTGATGTGGGTGCCAGGTCACAAGGGAATTGCAGGAAATGAGGAAGCTGACAGCCTCGCAAAAGAAAGAGCTAGTACCCCATTCCAGGGTCCGGAACCCTTCTGTGGACTATCGAAAAGTTACATCAGAGAGGAACTCCGTACCTGAGAACTCAATCAACTAAGATCATATTGGTCTAACACACCAGGACAAAGGCAAGCAAAAAGGCTCATAAAAGTGTCGCCTACTACAACAAACCGCCTTCTCGAAATGAGTAAGAAATATATCAAAATAGTCACTAGCCTTCTCACTGGTCACTGCCCTCTGAGATATCATCTCAAGAAGATGGGCAAATCAGATAGTGAGAACTGTCGGTTCTGTCACAATGAAAAAGAAACGGCAGAACATATACTATGCAACTGCGTAGCACTGTTCTGCAAAAGACTAAAATTCCTAGGAGAGGTCAGTCTGGCGTCCTCTGACATAGGAAACAAGTCACCTAGAAAGCTAACCAACTTCATCAAAAGTATTGGCATTCTGGAGTTTAACTAGATTAAGGTATGCACAAAAGATCTGTATAGGTCGAAGTGCGGTGAGGCCGCATGGCCTTAACGACCTCACATAATCTAATCTAATGTCACATCGGATTCATCTTTGTATTAAAGCTAGATGTGTCATTACTAACTGTTTAACAGAAATTGTGTTATTTTTGTCGCAATTCCTCATTAACTGGAAAACTAAATATACAGCCATTGCTAATTTTTTTTTATTTTCCTTCTTTAGACTTTAGTTTCAAATATTTGTTATTTTCGGAAACTAATTGTCGAAACCAAATTTTGGCACTTTTACTACGACAGGAAAGATTGTTTTCACGTCCAGAGCGTTTTGTAAATAGCCGCTCCGAAGATTCCTTTTAGGATGAAATACTTATAAGCGGATATACAGACGCACTCTACGTGAAATCAAATCTTAACTGTCTTTTCTTTTATTTTGATATACT